TAACGGATATCAGTTAGTATATCAGAGAATGTAAATTTAGGGTTCAAATTCAGATGATCTAAATAAAGGTCCAATTCCGCCAATCCGCCGAAATGAGAGTTGCTACGTATTTTTTCTCACAATGCCCGAATTAATGAAGCAGTTCTTTTATATGGTCGTGTTGTGTAATAAATTTACCTTTTTTTCAAAAAGGAAAATCATATAGGCTGATAGTATAATACATAAGTACGCGCGTACGGTGCAGGAAATTTAAAAATCTCAATATTCCAGAACATCGAAAATAATTTCCTAAGTTATCGATCTCAATAAACAAAGTACAATATATATGCTATTGAGATGACAAATTTAGTTTATCTTCAATGAGTTAGTTAACCTTTATTCTATATAAAAGTGATTGAAGTTTTTGGTTTCCTGAACCGTACGTCTTATAAGTTGCATAACTGATTAAAATGTGGTTAAATTCTGATAGCAACTCTGATGTAAAAATGATTGCTGGAAGTGAACCAAACATTAAAGAATTTAGTGTACATTCATCAGTTTTACGTTCTTGCTCTCTTTATTTTCAAAGGGCTCTATCAGAACGATGGAAGGACCAAAATATGGTGTTTATATTATTACAAAGCCAAGTATTCATCCTAGTATTTTTATGTTAATTCTTGAGGGAGTTTTTTTTTTTTATATATTTATTAATTTTATTATTTACTTATTAAATTAAAGCATTTATATTTCTTTTACAAATAAATTAATCTAAAATATGTTAAGATATATTTATGCAGGAAAAAATATATTGAATACATCACCTGAAGATTCTTTAAAAATACTGGTCGCATCTGATGAACTTGAACTTCTTGATCTTATTGAATGTGCCCAAAACTACTTAATTACCGTATAGTTCCAAAAATAAACACCCCCACAATTTTTTTATATCCGAAAATAAGCACCCCTTTTAATAGTTATCAGATTAGAACCTGGTTTAAACCCGGTTTTCTTTTTCATTTTATATCCGAAAATAAGCACCCTATAACAAAAAAGGGGTGCTTATTTTTGGAACTATACAGTAAAGAATTCTCTCCATGGTTATGCTCTAATCTTGCGATATCACTTAATGTTGCTTGTCGTCATAATCATTTTTATGAATTATATAACTATGTTCTAAATTTTACTTTTAGAAACCCTTATTTTCTTTTTATTCATCTAAATTGTCTTTACTAGATGAAATAGTTATGATTTGTCTTTTAGAAAGTGATGATATTGAACTTGAGGAAATAGAGCTTTGGAATTGTTTGATTAAATGGGGTATTTCTAAAATTCTTGATGATGATATCACAGATTGGTCTGATGAAAATATATTAGACTGGTCTGATGATCATTTCATGGCATTAAAAGAAACTATTTCTGGTTGCATTCCCTTAATTCGTTATTATTATATTCCTAAAAATTACAGTATATTGAAAAACAAAGTAAACACTATCGCTTGGACTCTGATGCGTTTAATAAATTTAAACCCCACCAAGAAGATGTTCCAGATTGATTACCAATAAGAATAAAGCTATTATCTCAAGCTGGATTTATAAAAAGGATAAAGATTATTATACTAGTATAACTGATCCTTATAAAGTTAAACTTTTATTACGTGGAAGCAGAGATTGATTTAATGTTAATATATTCCATAGATTATGTAATTTTCAAGATCCAACTATCGTAATACTCAAAACTATTCGAGGTGATTTGATAGGTGGATATAATCCTGTAAACTGGGGTGGATTTACTGCAAAGATCGATGAATTAAAATTAGATGATTTTACTCGATTAGAAAATTCTAATGGAATTCGTAATAAACTTCTTCGGTTTATTTTTCAACAGAACCATATTTTACTTTAAGAAAGAAACCATATTTTAGTAAAACTTCAAATAGTTTTATTTTTTCATTTACTGATCAATCAAATTCAGTACTGAGTAGAATAAAGATTGAAAGAAAAAATATGGCTATTTGAAATGATAAATCATATGGACCTTTTTTTGGAGAATCAGATTTATGCATGAAAGGTTCAAATTATTGGACTAGTAACTTGAGAACTTATGAAAATAGAATAACTCATCCGGGCCAGTTAATTGTTGAAGAATATGAAGTATTGGCATTTGATAATTATAATCCGATGATGAATAATGCAATTCTAAAAATTTTGAGAATGTGTAAAGTATTTATATTTTATTTTATAATTATAATTTAAATTTTATAATGTTTATTTATTGTTTATCAAAGAATTTGTCTTTGCCTTTGTATTTATTGTTTCGTTGTATTTTAATAATTACAGTAAACTTTAGTTATTATGTACTAGCAATCTTTATTTTGCATGTACTAGCACCCTTTATTTGTCATGTACTAACACCCTTTATTTATCATGTACTTAAAACTATAGCAATCATTTTTTTAATTATAACATACCCTTGTAATATATGTATTCGTTTTATTAATTTCTTTTGTTATTCTGATCATATACAAGCACCTTTGTTTTTTGGATTGCTGTAATTAGTAACGACTGTTGAAAATAATTAAATCAGCATACTTTACATTTAGTTAATATAAAAGTATGGACATACTCTATTTTCAATAGAATTCTTTATTAAATATTACTTCTCCGTTTTGTTTTTATTTTCAAATAAAAAAGCTTTATTGGGCAAAAATTTGGGAATAACGGCAATTTGGTTCAACCGGGAAATGACTGGCTGACAAATGCCGCGAAGCGGCATTTGTCAGACAATCATTTGTCCGGTTGAACCAAATTGCCGTTATTCCCAAATTTTTGCCCAATTATGGTGTTATCCGACAATTTATGATCATGATTGGTAGGGAGTCACTCGCTGAGTTTTTTTTTTGAATATTGGAAAAACATAAACACATGAAAAAAACTAACAGAAAGAAAGTTTTTCATGATCATATGAGTTTGTCGGATAACAAGAAATTATTTTTGATGCAGAGCGCATTGTGTGCAATGTATATATATATTTCTAATTAGGGTGTCGCTTCTGAAAATAGTATTGACATAATTTTGAATGCATTATGCTAAACAACTTCCGAAATATTAGAATTCATCATTTCAACAGATTTTTATCTTGTCACATACCAATCACACATATATAACGAACTCTAAGATTGATTATTACATCAGAACTTTCCAGATCAACATATTATTGATGATTTATGAACGGCTTGTGTATTTATTCAATTCCAATTCCTTCGTAATATTAATAACCAAGGTTACATAGCTCTTCAGCATTTTTCATCATTATAGGTTTTTGAAAACATTCGAACGCCTTACGTTTATCTTTTTTTCGATCTCGAATCCTTCTTGATAAAAATTTAAGTTTTACCGTTACATGAGCATATCATTGGTCGGCAAACTTTTGATTATGTACGAAGGCCTTTTGTTCATCCTTTCAACTCCTACGCCACTTTAATAGCAATAACTGACATAACATGCTCCATTAGGATCCTCCATATTATAGATTTTAAGGATATACGAATGCCTCATATTCAGCTTTTGACATAGATAACAAATTCCAGATTGAACATTCCATCAGCATTTCCAATATCAGCAGATTTTGAAAGCATTCAACGTCTTAAGTTTATCGTTTTCCACACCATACATATCTGATATAATATATACGGCTTATATGTTCCATCAAACGTAATCAAATTAAAATATTCAAATGTCTTACACACATCCTTTTCAACTACGTTCCCATTGGATAGCAACAACAGAGAGTGAACTTTTTATCTCAATTTACATTCGTCCTTTTCTATTTCGATTTACTTTGGTATAACAGTTTCCAAGATTTATTCCTTCGCTACTTAACATCTCTGCAGATTTTTGGAACCATTCGGACGTTTTACTTTTATCCTTTCCGCTCCGATTCCATCTCGACAATAGACCTCAAAATCATAAATTCCACTATCATTCTCAGATCAGTGTATTTTTTTTAAAAAAAACATTGAACGCTCCTTTACCGCTCCGATTTCTTTGATGTAAAAGTTTCTAGACCCATCATTCCTTTATTATTCTCATCTCAGAGATTTTTAAACTTGAAACAATCGCACACTTTCGTTCATCCTTTTCAATTCCGATTCCACCTCGATAACAAACTCCCAAGATCATATATTTCATCAACAATTTTCGGGCCAGATTTTTTTATGATAAGACGCAATACCTTGCATTCATCCTTTTCCACGTTAATCTCTATAAACAATACAGATTTAAATACCCAATGCTTTGATAAAAATAGTGGTAAGGTATGTAAATTCGGCATAATTCTTGTGTAATATTTGCAAATATCTTCAAGCTTCAAAAATTAATGGTTTGGTATTTTCTTAAGAAATCTTTTCATTATTTGTTTTTATCAACAATGTATCATATAAAAATCAGAAAGCCTTATTTCTTTCTCAAATTCTAATGCCACCCCGACGCAATGATGTTCCGATCAATAAACTCGTAAAAATTTTAATATAATCTAGGTCCTATCCGATTTTAATACTAACACTACCGACGTGTTTTATTACTTGATTGTGAAGGTCTAAGTGATCTACTGTATTACGAGCCGATATGACGCATGAATGGTAATCCGGTCTATGGTTTTTGCGGCAAGTAACCACATTAAGAATTTCGTCAGTTACCGTTACATTCACTATACTATAGGGATGTGCTGCCTGCGCATTGAATTTAAAAGATGTTTGGCTGGTCTATCCCTAGTTCACTGTAACGAATGAAATTCATTATTCAACACTTTATTTATAATCCTTATTGAAAGAAAAAAAAATATTTATAACAAATCTTAATAAAATATGTCATTTAAAGGTTTTATTTTCGAGCGGGATTTACTTGAAAAATTTAAGCAGAGTGGGATTTTTTCTTTTTCTTTTGATAAGTCTCCTTGTATTGTCAATACTAATAAAGAACTTGATATACACTGTCGTTACAAGAAATCATATTTCCTTTTACAAGTCACCAATCGCCAATTTTATAGCGAAGAATATTTAGTAAAGGCTTACCGTTCATTCAACAGATTTTTAGATGAAATTCATGATATTGATACTTTTTATAACCGTCTTTTTGTTATAAAATTAGTTGAAGTAGCTGAAGAGTTAAAAAGTAGGTTTCGATATCAAAACTCTGATCAAAATATCATTTACAATGAGAATGAAGTAATTAATATAATTAAAAGTTTTGGTGATAACACAGAAGATCAGTTTTATCAATTTTATGAATCTGATACTAGACATAAACAACTATGGGAAGAAGAAATTAGATTCATCGAAAATTTAAAAACTATCGAACTTATAAAAATCAGACATTCTTATAATTTAGGCGACAGAAATTTTAATCTTGATTACTGTAGATTTGATTTTGTTGATAAAAATTTTAAATTTGTAGTTCGTTATGAAAATACTGAAATCTACGATCAACAAGAAAATTATCTGGTAGATTTTGATAATGGAATTTCTGCTCATATGCCACCAGAAGTTTGGGGTATATACATTACAAAAGGTAACCCTCAACAAATGAACGATTTGTGTCAAAAATGTAACACCTTAAACAGAACAATTTATATTCTTAACCAAATATTTGACACTTCTATTCCCGATGATCGTAGAAATATTATTCAAGAAATCGATAATAGTAAACACTTACTTCAATAAACAAAAACATATTTCTTATTTTAAATAATACGCTTTTTACACGAGTTTTGGTAAAATGTTATCGTCAGTTGTCTACGAAATTTTTTATTTTTAACTGATAGGTTAGGTTTCGTTTATTTTATTTTATTTTTATTTTATTTTATTTTTATTTTATTTTATTTATTTATTTATTTATTATATTTATTTATTTACTGTATTTATTTATTTATTTAACATATATTTATTATTATTATACGTATTTTACTTTATATTTATTTTTTAAACCTTGTTTTACAGTAGTATTAATCACACCAGTGATGTTCAATTCAATATCAAATATTTTTAACAATTATATTAATAAAATTTAGGATTCAGTTCTAAGTTAACATCATAAAGTTGTTTTTATGTAGAGGTATGTAAATATTTTATGTATATTTTATTTAAAAATTATACATAGGTCTATAAACCCAATGTAGACTTACATTACATAAATATAATTATAAATAATTATAATTTTTATTTAATAGTTATTTAATAGTTATTTAAAATTTAGCAAATATAACGATTAGGCCATACAAAATTAATTTTTTGGTTCTCATAACATAAATTTTAAAAATGACCCGGCAACCCGGCTTTTAATTTTATTTTCAAAAAAATTTTATATACAAAAAACATATAAAATTTTTTATAGACATTTAAAAAAGTTCACCCGGTAATAAATATAGACAAAATTTTTTCAAAGCTTTGCAGAATTTGACCCGGCCGGTTATGAGAACCAAAAAATTAATTTTGTATGGCCTTATATAAAATTTATTTATATAATTATATAAAATTTATTTAATAGTTATTTAAATTTTAATAAATATAACGATTAATTTATTTATATAAATGCATAGAATTATAATAACATTAATTTAATATTTATTTAAAATTTAACAAAAACTACATTTATATAAATTTAGGGTCCCAATTTTTCCACACCCTTTTTGATATTTCCACACCCATATGTAAATCATGTTTTTTTTAAATTCGATCGAAAGTAACTCGGCATCCACACAACCAAATTCGATCAATTTTTTTTTATTTGAATTCTCCAGAACTGCAGAATTCAAATAAAAAATATTCATCGAATTTGATTGTGTGGATGTCGAGATACCTTCGATCAAAGTCAAGAAAATTTTGCGCAGCTAAAATTTTAATAGACGATTAAAAATTTTTCTCAAATTTGATCGAAGGTATTTCGATACACACCAAACCAAATTTAATGAATTTTTTTTAAATTAAATTCTACTGTTCCGGAAATTCAAGTAAAAAAAATTACATCAAATTTGGTCAGGTGGTTTTCGGGATATCTTCGATCAAAGTTTTAAAAATATTATAGATATCAAGATTTTTTCTGACTTTGATCGAAGATAACTCAACATCCACGTGACCAAATTCGGTTATTATTTTTTATTTAAATCCTACGGACAGTGGAATTCAGATAAAAAAAATCTATCAAATTTGGCTTGGTTGTTATCGAGATACCCTCGATCAAAATTGGGAAAATTTATTAATCATCTATCAAAATTTTAGCTGCGGCAAAATTTTCTTGACTTTGATCGAAGGTATCTCGACACCCACACAAACAAATTCAATGAATTTTTTTTATTTGAATTCTACAGTTCTGGAGAATTCAAATAAAAAAAATTCATCGAATTTGGTTGTGTGGGTGCCGAGTTACTTTCGATCAAATTTTAAAAAACATGATTTACATATGGGTGTGGAAATATCAAAAAGGGTGTGGAAAAATCGGGACCCTAAATTTATCTATATTATTTAGAATTATAAATAATTTTTATTTTTATTTTATTTTTTTTAATCTTAGCAATCATGCCTTTATTTATCTAGAAGCACATACTAGATATATATAGTAATTGAACAAAAAGCCTGCAACAACTAAATGTCTTTCATTTTCCTACTTTAAAATAAAGATTCACTTGGCTGTCTAGATGGTGCTCAAATATGATTTGCTGCAGCATTTGTACTCTCATCTTTGGAGGCCTAACTTGCTAAACCTATACCTATCAAATTATCAAAAGTCTCTACTAGCTTTGTCAAGGTTTTCTTTTTTTTTTTTAGCATTTTTTCTTCTTCAAAAGGGTATAAAAAATGGGAAATATTAAAAACAAAACAAAAAGAATATAGTTCAAAGAGAAGAAAAAAAAATAAAGAAAAAGAAAAAAATATATAAACACACAAATAAGAAAATACAGAAAAAAAATAAAAAAAATAAAACAAAATAATATTAGACAAGATTAAATCTAGCTATAGCACTATTATTACCTATACAGGACTTAAAAAATTATATAACAAATAAACTATTTGTATATCTCTATTATAAAACTTTACTTTAACATTTATTTTTTAACTAGATTATTTAATTTCTTTAACTGTTAATACCAATTGATATCACATAGAGCAGTATGATCTGTAAACAATACAAAACAGACATATGGGGGGTGTTAGTAGAAACCAGGCAAATTGTTTTTAGTAAGTTTTTTTAAAACTTTAAATTAAAATATTTCAACAACTATTAAACCAAACTTAATAAATTTTTTTTTATTTTAATTATATAACTAAATAGTATTACAATAAAAAATTTTTATCGAGTTTGGTTAATAATTGTTGAGATATTTTAATTTAAAGTCTAAAAAAAATTTACTTAGAAACAATTTGCCTGACACCCCCCATATAAACTTAATATATTGGTTTATATAATCTGCCGAAAAAGTAGTTCACACATTTTGATTTAACAGGACATCACAATAGATTCACTTATTTGTATAAATAAATATAACCTAAAAGGAAATTTAAATGTGCTTGAAAGTAAAATTTAGGGTTAGAACGTTGAAGTTGGAAGTTTATACATAAAATTTCTTTTCTGTTACTTATTAATTAGTACCGGTACGCCCAAAAGTCGATTTAAGTTAGGCTGATCCGGGATAATCAAAATATGTACACTCTAATTACTATTTCCTTTTAGTCAACCACAATAATCTTTCCTGTTACATGCCTCCCGCGCTATTTTAACGTCGTAATTATACTACTAAAATAGAATAGATCTACGTATGAAAGCTGAACCTTAATCCTGATTTAGCGTACGTACGTACTTGTTATTGACACTTAGAATGAATCTTGTTCACGTCTTTGTTCTTTCCGGTCGATCTCATGTACCACCTGTGCGTCTGTACGGAAGTTAAAGTCTTTGTGCATGAATGAATATATTTATGAATTTTTTTTTTTATAATGTACAATATTATATAGTCAACAACATACGACCTAGCAACTACTCAAATATTATGTAACTCGACATCCGAGTCGAATAATGCAAAATAGTTCGATTCTGAATCATAGGACATCATTATTTAAATATGACTTTCTATAATAAAGAAAACAATCACATGAGAATAATATAATAAATTTTATTGTGATTGGTTATCACACAATGAGATAATAACGTTTTGTTTGCCATAAATAGCCGTACACAAGGTTCGGATCTGTTACATTTCATCAACTTTAAAGCCTTTAATGGACTGGGCATATATATTTCTGTATTTATGTCGCAAGGATGTACTACGTACGTACGTACACTACAGGAGCGACCGTCGATGTTACACGACTGATTTTTCACACGGTGTGAAACACATAAAAAAATTATTTTACAAT